AGTCGGATGCTTAACCAACTGCGCCACCCAGGCGCCCCTTATTTTTTGAGTTAAAGATTACCCATGGAATATATTGAGTACTTCATAGAGCATCTCATAATGTCCCAGTGTTAGTGATTCTAAATGTGATCGCTTGTTTAAGGTGTTACCTTCCAGATTTATCCATTATAAGCGATTTTTGTCCTTTTGCAACCTGAAGGTAATTCTTGGTGATCCTTTGGTACCATGTGACTTTCTAGCAACCCTTCCCTCATGGTTTTAGAATAAGGACCACTTTCTCAATGCCAGTGATTTCATCAGGTTTGGTCATGCTTATTTATACTGTAAGAAAACGTTATCATCAAATATAAATAAATGACTTAGGAGCTAGGATTATTCATGTAAAAGCAGATGAAGGAATAAGCATGTTTAGGCACCTGCATGGCTCAGTCGGTTGAGCATCTGACTCTTGATTTTGGATTAGGTCATGATCTCACGGTTTGTGGGTTTGAGCCCCATGTCTGCTTCTGTGCTGACAGTGCAGAGCCTGCTTGGGATGTCTCTCTCTGCTCTTCTCTGCTCATGTTCTCATTGTCTCTCTCATGTTCTGTCTCTCGTGTTCTCTCTTTTCTTCTTCTTCCTCCTCTCTCTCTCTCTCTGTCTCTCTCTCTCTCTCTGTCTCTCTCTCTCTCTCTCTCTCTCAATAAACTTAAAGTTAGTTGAGGCACCTGGGTGGTTCAGTCGGTTAAGTGTCCAACTTCAGCTTAGGTCATAATCTCAGGTTCGTGAGTTCGAGCCCTGTGTCAGGCTCTGTGCTGACAGGTTGGAACCTGATTCAGATCTGTGTCTCCCTCTCTCTCTCTGCTCCTCCCCTGCTCACACTCTCTCTCTCTGAAAAATATTAAAAAAAATTTTTTTTAATTTAGCATATGTTTATGGTGCAACTGTATGTGTGTAACACCAAATTTCTCCTTCTTTGGCATGGATGGTTGAGAACCAACACGTAGGAAAACATTAATTGACACCTTTACAAATAAAACGCAGTTTGAATCATGATTGGTCTTATCGTTTGCAAACCTTTGTTTTGTAGCAGAGTTGTAAATGAAGAATAATTTAAACTCTTACCTCCAGTGTGTTTTTCTTATAAAAAATAGGTGTCCACAAGAGAAGCCAACACCAAGGACCTGATGATATTTACCTGGATGACTTAAAGGCTCTAGAACCTGAAGTTGCAGCCCTCTACTTCCCTAAAAGGTACTGTATTTCTTAGATGTTGAAAGGTGAATAGCTGTGAAATATAATGGCTATATCTAGAGCAAAACACTGAGAAAAAAGAGCAAAGTGATGATGACCTTTACCCAAGTTGGATGATTGCTTCAGATTTGGGGAAATTCAGAAATTGTGTGGTGTTTGAACTGTAGTGATATGAAACGAATAATTTACCTGTTTATGAAGAAAGTTTTAGTACAGTGAGAAAAGGTACATTACTTAAGTCTACGTAAGGGTGTACCAATGGTTACGACTTCAGACTAGCAAATCTTATGGTCATTAATACAAACTGAACATATTGGGGGAAATTCGTTAGCATTATTTCATTTATTATGTGTTTTAAAGGTAATAATATCTTTACTCAAAAACATTTTACAAAGAATGTCCTCCTTCAGTGAGTCTGAGCTCCCAGGCTTTTTCTGAACTTGGGCTGGGCCTCTTGAGTCCCCATTTCCAGTTGACCTGTACACCCCACATTCCCTAGACCTCTTACCGTTTGTCACCCTTTCTTCTCCCCTCTCAGTTTCCCCCTTTTGAATAACTAAAACCTCAGATATGCTGTATTTGTACTGTTTTCCTAAGTTTATTTCCATCCTTCAGGATATTCTATTATAGGACTCTGTGATTACAAAAAACAATTTACTTTTCCCATAGAAAGTATGGTTTGAAATACTGAGCCATAGGCACATATTATTAAGCACTTCTAAGTAAATTATTGAAAAACTTGTTACGTTTTTAGTTAAAATAGAAACATGGGATTAATACGAAGATATTTAAATTTTTTATGGATATTTTTAGAAGGTCCTTAAAACACCTTCCTAGCTCTCTGCCCTAAATTTGTCTCAAAATATCTTCTTCACATAAAGGAATAGTTGGGTTTTTAAGGTGAAAGAATCGGAAGTGCTCCAATTTTTTTTTTCAATAAGAAAGTTAAAATGTAAGCTATCCTAGAATTATCACTTTCTTTCACATTTCCCAGTCCTTTATTAGTGTTCCAAAGATCAAGTTCTTAGTCTCCCCTTTAAAAAATGGGGAGTAACTAATAAATTTAAAATGAGGAGAATAACTCATGCAATAGAACCTTACTGTGCTCTATAAATTTGACTGCCTAATGTCATCACCTGTTCACCAAATTAGCTTATTCCCTCCTGACCCTACTGAACAAATTATTTCTGGAGACGTTTCATAAATACTTAAAGATACTAAGACTGTTGTAAGGCTTCTAAGCATTTGTTTTGTTAATTGTCCCGATCCTGTCATCTTGACTAAGTATCCAGTATTAATAATTATAGCTAAACTTCAGTCTAAACCACATCACTCCTTTGGATTTGGTGACATGTTGAGTCAGATGGCCTCCTCCATCTATTTAGGGGTCACTTTGCTTTGGATCACGCTAACTGCTCTGACAAAACACAGGACCTCAGTGGCTTACCACAATAGAAATGTATTTCTTGGTCATACTATGCTATTCCAGTGCTGGTGTTTGGTGGGAGGCACCTTGCACACAAGGATTCAGGAGCATAAGCTTTCTTCCATCTTGAGGCTCCACCATTCCCTTAGGGCCAAGACTGGGAAAAGAGGGAGGCTCACACAGGGGAGTTTTCAGGGGCTAGGCTTGGGAAGGGCACAGCACACCCCTCTGTCCACATCCAAAAAGTCAGTCATGGTCATGTGGCCACACCTCACTATAAGGGGACCTAGCCATGGGCCCAGGAGAAAGAGGAAACACATCACAGTCTTCTATTCATGTTTTCCCCGGGGTCATCCCTGCTCCCTGACTCCATAACTGCTGCTTTACGTTGGCGTTTTCACCATTTCCAGTAAGAACATTCTGTTGATCTAATTAATTTCAATATTGTGGTATGAGTGTGCATGGCTACTAAGAAAGAAAATTTTCAGAAACCTAAATCTTTCATTGTTTCAAATGCAAAACATAATAGCTTTGGAAACTGCTTTCTATTTATGACCTGTCTGTACTCTGCTGCCACCTACTGCTCAAATTTGAAGGTTTTTTTTTTTTCCTAAAAGTCATAAAACTTTGATGGATCATATTAAGTAGGCTGGCTTTTTGAATAAAACAAAAGAATTTGAAACTTCTAGAACATTTTTTCAACATGACATCAAGTATCCTTTCAAAGGGTGTAGAGCAGTAAACATTCATGAATAGGAAACTTAAGGTACCATTTCCTTGTTCTTTTGGATTGAGATTTATGCTCCATTACAAAGTTTCCCTTAGGATCATCTTCTAAAACCTGGCTTCTGTGACTTAACATCTAGAAAAATGAAAATATTGAATAACTTCACCTTTTTAGTCCTAACCCTTGCTAGTTAGTGTAACAATAGTTTATTTCCAGTTTATTTCTCAAAATGTTTTCAAGGTAGGTCTACCATCCTGAGACTTTCCTCTTGCTTAATTTCTTTGTTCTATTTTGTGAAGTAACAGTTGAATTTAGAAAGGTCTAGACAACCCTGAACTACAGTAATTTTCTACAGGATGTGTACAGTACCACAGCTTTTTCTAGGAGGTTAGGATCAAAGGTTTCCAAACATCAGATTTTTCTTAATTACTCTGTCATTTTCATCATGGAAATGTAAATAAATGGTTATGACTCTTGGAATCCTTTAATTAAAATAAAAAAGGCTGTAGTTGAAAAGTTTGTCTTACTGTGAATGGCTGTAGTGATTTTTGTGACCTGTTTACTGTATTCACAGTTAATTCCTCAGCAGTGCTATTAAGTTATTTTTAATGTCATTTGTGATAGAGTCTAAACTCTAAGGAAAGCTGTGTCTTTAGGTCAATCTGTTCCTTTTTTAAGGGGATATATTATTTGGTTCAAGCCCTCAGAGAACCCTGTAGTAAGCCAGGAATACAAGAAGTTGTAATAAGGCAAATCCTTTTCTCCCCATCCCCTGCCCACAGTGAATCGGACCCTGGCTCCCGGCAGTGGCCTGAGTCTGACACGCTCTCTGGCTCCCAGTCCCCACAGTCCGTTGGAAGTGCGGCTGCAGATAGCGGCACCGAGTGCCTCTCAGATTCTGCCATGGACTTGCCTGATGTCACCCTCTCTCTTTGTGGGGGTCTCAGTGAGAACGGAGAGATTTCCAAAGGTACGCTGGGCAATCATGCCCCTGTCTTCACTGGAGAAAGCAGCCTGGTCGTTACTTGATAGAAAACTTGCTGTTCAGCCACTTCGGGGTATTAAATTCTTTAACGATCTTGTGCAGGTAACAGGTATCTCCCTTTAATGTCAGATAGCTCCTCATTTAAGGTACCTCATATGGGGTGACCTTACATATAAATGGCTCGAGTAAGTTCGTGTGCCTCGAAGGCTCTCATTTCACATGGAGAGGTGGAGAATTCTCAGGCTGCCCTGTTTGTGGAGCAGCCAGGGTCAGCTCATGCTGTGTCCCACTTTCTCATCTGTAAAGTTGAAATGTGTGTGGACTGGGGCCCAGCTGCCCTCCTGGAAAGCACTGAGCCTTAGATATGAGAGTAGGGCTGAAGTTGTGGAAAATTAATTGTCCACTGAGGAAATAGTCTTTCTGGCAAAAAGTAGAAGGGGTTACTTTCTGTCTCAATCTTGAGACTTGGCCCTGGAAAGTATAGTTGCTGAAGAGAAAGGAAGAAGCTTAGCAGAGGCAATTCAGAGGACTCCAGGGTGGGGTGAGCACTCGGGTGTATCTTTCCCCAAGTTCTTTGGCCTTTTTGGTTTTACCTTCCTTTGTACCTAAACTCTTCTTAATATTTTCTCAGTTTGGCTGGTGGCCTTTGATTGTCCTCTAAGGAAAGAGTTTCCTTCCACAACTAGTATCATCTTTTGTCTTCTCTCCCCCTCAGAGCAGCTGAAGGCCTGAGTTTGGCAGACTTGGTGCCCTGAGAGTCATAATTGTGCTTTCCTGAATCCTTCTCTTTTTCAGGTCACAAGGTGCTCATGTTGCCTCTTCTCCATCTCTTAATTCTATTTGTTTTATTTTTTGTAAGAAATTAAGAGCAGGTTATAGTCAGTAGCTCTTAATCCTCATAAGTCTTCATTTTAAAAAATACAAGTTGGGGTGGAATGGAAAGTACACAGTTCTATAAACCATAAAATATACACTTAAAATTCTGGGTACTTAGGTAGAGTTTGTTATTGGAGGAGGCAGAAATGGCAAGTAAACGTAAATAATCTACAAATCACCAGGAGGAACAGTCCTAGTGAGAAATTTCCCTGTTAGCCTTGATCTGTTCAAATTCACGCAGAATCCTCATTCATTTCTCAAGAATTTGGGGTTCATTTCTTGGCTGATCCTAAGCCATAGTGTGGTGTGTATTTATTAGGTTTTTTTTTTTCTACAAGCAATTGTAAAATGTTTTGTTTTTCCTAATGTAGCATGCCCTGACAGCTGTAAGATCCCCATGAATATTCCCTAGTTATGCAGTTGCCTGCCTGCCAGTAATGTTTGTCTTTGTTAAGAATGAAACTACAGTTTTCATTAATTCTAGAGAATGTGTGTGCACACATGTGTATCTTCCTTTCTCTCTCTCTGGCCACCTCTATAGTCTGTTTTCCTGAAATTCTGTGGCATATCCCTTTTTCCTGTGTTGTTTTTGTTGTTGTGGTTTTGTTTTTTGTTTTTAATTGTGGGAGGAGTGGTAGAAGAGGGGAAGGATAGAAGAAGGAAGTGTTCTTTATTGTCCTGGATAAAAAAAAAATGATATTTTGCTTTTGATGAATATAAAAAAAATTTTTTTAAAGGACGCATTTTATCCTTTAGATCCTTCAACGCAGAGTATTGTGATATTCTCATTTAGAAATTTACGTAATATCTAACCAAAGGATCATTATTTTACATTGCAGAAAAATTCATGGAGCATATCATTACTTATCATGAATTTGCAGAAAACCCTGGACTTATAGACAATCCTAACCTTGTAATACGGATCTATAACCGGTAAATACTCCTGCTTTTATAATTGCTAAATACTCTTCCAGGGTTTTTTTTCAAAGTGCTCTTTTTAACTATTCTAGTTTTCTTGTTATAAAATGTGCCATCACATATAAATGAGCTAGTGGGCAGTGACTTTGAAATGAAAATGACGCCTCAGCCTTTTTTTCTTTTTTTTTTTTTT